GGGGATCCGACCCCTCGGGCAGGAGCGCCGCCGCGCTTCCCAAGCGGCGCACTATCCAGTGCGCCACCGGGCCGGCCGAAATGGTTGTGCTTTAAACCACCTACTTGAACTCAGACCTATTATTTAGCCTACTGGAATTTTTAAGATCAGATTGTATCCATCTCACAGGGAAGTGAAAGCATTCAAATGAATTGGTGAAGGTGAAGCCCCAGTACAGTGCAAGTGTTCACTCACTGGGAGTCACTGCTATCACTAGTGTCAGGTGACCAATCCTTCCAGGTAATCCGCTCTACCACCAGGTGGCATCTACAGCTGGCCACATCAGGAAAGGGACCCCCCAATCACCTGCTTTACCCAAACTTGCCTGCAGGCTCCCCCAGCCCTTGAGCTCCTGTGCCCAGGCTCTCCTGTCTGCCGGCCACACCACATGTCCCTACCACAAGGCTAGTGTTAGGTGTACAGGTGTACATGCCCAGCAGCTAGGAAGGAGATTGGCATCACACAGTGGCCTGTGGATCCCAACCCTGCCATTTCCTGGCTGGGTGACCGCAGGCCAGTCACTTATCCTTTTTGAGTCTTGCTTTCCAGATTATAAATGGGAAAAATTTCCTTCCTCATGAGATAGACATGTGCTCAAGCGCCATTTATTTTGAAGGACATCCACTCATGCATGAGTCACGCAATTCCATGACAAACAATTGTGTGGATCTTCGCTGCCTTCTGGTTGGCCCTTCCCCAGGCCTGTAAGGGTCAGAGCTGTCCAGAGGCATTTACAAGTTGTCCCAGAGCTCATTTAACAACATCATTTCAGCAGAGGCTTTTGTTAATAGACTGAATGTTTGAATCCCCCAAAATGTGTGTTGAAGTCCTCACTCCCACGTGACAGTGTTAGGAGGTGGGGCCCTCGGGACTGATTAGGTCATGAGGATGGAGCCCTCAGGTGTGAGATTAGTGCCCCTTTCAAAGATAGACTGAATGTTTGAATCCCCCAAAATGTGTGTTGAAGTCCTCACTCCCACGTGACAGTGTTAGGAGGTGGGGCCTTCGGGACTGATTAGGTCATGAGGATGGAGCCCTCAGGTGTGAGATTAGTGCCCCTTTCAAAGAGGCCCAGAGCTGTCTTGCAGTCTTGCCACCAGGTGCGGTTACGGCAGTTAGATGGTCTATGAGGAGACGGTATGTGAGGATGGTCTGTGATGTCTCAACAGACATTGGATCTGCCAGGGCCTTATCTTGGATATCCAGCCTCAGAACCATGAGAAGTAAATGTTGTTTTAGCCACCCAGTGTATGGTATTTTTGCTACAGTAGCCCAAACAAACAAGACAGCTTTAATTCTTAAAACATGTTTAATAAAAATCAAGCTTCATAAACAAATGAAATGACTGCCCAAATGGAAAGAGGGGGAGCTGGTCATGTGACCAAGGTGCCTGCCATCATCCCAATGGCTTCGAAGGCTTCATCTGATCAGAAAGTTCACTCCTAGCCTTTCTGCAACATCTGGCAAGGTGGGGCTGGGATGGACAGTCAGCCTCATCCACCTGCCAGGGAGCACACGGGCTCTAAAACTGCAGGCCCCATCCCACTTGTCTACTAAGCACAGCAGTAGGGAGTCTGGGATCTGACAGGGCTTATTTGGAGAAGGCATAAAAAGCCACAGCAGCAGCAACACTCAGGAGAGGAACAAGACTCGTCCCTCCCCACCCGTTTCTCCTCAGGAGGGGAACAAGAATGTGCACTTCTGGCATGACATGGAAGACTGAGATCAGCCAGGCAAGTAGCCATTGTTGGGGCAGGGGAGGCACTTTGGTACTCAGCAAGGAACGCCTCTGAAGGTGGCAGTGGCTCCTGGAGCTCTCTGGGCACAGTACATCAAAACTTTGACATCAGTATCATGGTAGGTTGGGCCAGGGCTGTGCCAGGAGAGCAAGGGTTGAACCTGCACAGGGGTAGCAGGAAAGCCCTGACCAGCGAGGAGAAGTAAAGGAAGTTCACCTCTGCTACTCATCACTGCTGAGACTTCTGGGAACAAGGTGTCTGTCTGGGGGGGAGCAGGTTACCAGGGTTCAAAGCGCTGCCTGCCAGTGACAGGCACATAAGTCACAGGAACAGGCCAGGATCAAGGCCTCGGCTGTAGCAGCAGCTCGAAGAGCTGGAGCCGCACGGTCACAACACACACAGACACAGAATGCAGTGACACGCAACAACAGCTCAGAGCAGTCAGCTTCTCTGCAGAAGCTGTTTCTGCCGCCTTTCTCCCCTTATCCTTCCATCACCTCATGATATCTCTGCCCAACCTCACACGCAAGTGGGGCTGGGGGGCAGGTAACAGCAGAGGAAGCTGCTCTCTGGCCAGGCCTATGTGAAATGTATGCCTTCAGGGATTACCACTTCCCTCATTTCTCACATTATAGACTGCATAATCAGGAGAGTCTGGGCTCTCCTGAGCTGTCAGGATTTTCTACCACATCCCTAGGAGTCTTAAGGGGAAATCAGCCTGACTTCTTCAGACGGTGCAAAAGCGGCATGAGTGACCAGGGCAAGGAGGATCTGGTGTAAATGGAGGACTTGAGAAGTTGATGCCAAAGAGTGTAGAAGCCAAAGCCACCAAGAAAACCAGATGGGCAGCAAGCAGATGGAGAGGGCAGGCCCACCAGAGAGGCAAGGAGAAGTTTGGGCCCAGCACCCAAAGAAAGTTTGTTGCCAAGACTGGCTGGGAGCCCCAGGTAGAGGAGAGCTTCTGGGGGGAATGCAGACTGCACCACCGACTGTTCCTGTTCACTCCCCGTCATGCAACAGGGGCTGGAAAGACAGGCAGATGCACAGGGGTTAATGACACGACATCTAAGTGGCCCCTGACCTGCAGAAGTCACACCAGGCCTGAGCTGTTCAGACAGACCCTCCCACCTGCACAGTGATCCCTGCCCACACCAGCAAATCTTTCAGGGAGGCCCCCAAACCCCTGAGCCTGGTACACACCCCACCTCCCTACCTCCCACCAGATGCCTAAGTGGACAAGCACAGGCTCTAAGCACTCAGCTTGTCACCAAGCACCTGTCTCACTACACTAGCCCCAAACCACTAAAGTAGAAAGTACACACCCTTATCATGCTCAAGCCCTCCCTTGGAGAAGACAGGACCACACTCCGTCTCAGGAAACCACAGGAATTTGGGAAGGGGAATTCTGTCTCTTGATGGACAAGCACCTGAGAGCCCCTGAGCCTGAATAGCCGCACCTGCTGCCATCACTGGGATGTGCTGGTTTACCAGTGGTCCCCGTTAGCCACCCTATTCCACCTTCAAGCTACTTGGTTTCCCACCATGCTACTGGGTTGGTCTTCTTAGCAAGGGCAAGCCTTTCCTGGGTGAACCTTTTCTAGACCTGGCTCTATCCCACCCTGGAATGGGGGGCAGAAACCCATACCTGTCTGTCAGTCAAAATCCCCGGCTCTGGACGCTTCCAAGATGAAGCCAGCAGGATATAGAGCACCAGCAGCCCGAAGGCCACCACCAGCATCCCGGTGCTGTTGGCAAACACAGCCTCGCTGGGCAAGCTGGAGTAGGGCTTGGTGTTTTTCCTGAAGACGAGAAAACAATGTGGGCCCTTAAGAGACTTTTCTACCTGTTTTGCCCAGTGGGAGACTTGATGTCACTGAGAGAAGGTGAAAAAGTCTTCCCAGAACCTCCTGTGACCTGGAATTTTAACATACTTTCTAAATCCCTGCCACAGTAACAAATATCTGTGTAATGCTTTTTACCTATGAGGAAACTGAAGCTCAAACTCGCCCACAGTTACGTAACTACTAAATGGCATAGCCAAGATCTAAACCCAGGTCTGGCCTCGAATCTTAACTTGCTCTTCACTAACCCCATAGCCCGTCCAAAAGGATGGACAGTAGTGGTTAGGCATGCAGGCCCTGGAGTCAGGCTGCCTAACGAAGCCCAGCTCTGTCACTTACTGGCTATATGCCCTTAGGTAACTAACTTAACCTCTCTGTGCCTTAGTTCCCTCATCTGTAAGTAACAATGACAAGAGCACCAAAGTCGTAGGGCTGTTGAGGGGATTAAATGTGAGGTGCTTAGAACAGTTTCTGACACACAGTGCATGCTGAATCAACCTGACGCTCAATAAATATTTGCTGACTAATTTACCAATCACAACCTACAGAAAGACCAATTCCATTACCTTCCAAATCAGGAATGAGCCCAACCCCAAAGGCTCTCCTTCCTTGAGGGGAGTGGCACAATCATAGGGTGAACCTTTTGAAGACCCTATTCCCTCCCTTCCACCTTAGAGTTGGGGACCCCATCACACTCACAAACTGAAGAAAAGCTTCTCATTAATGCCGGAAATGACAGACGCAATGGAGAGAGAGAGGATGGAGACTCCAAAGAAGACGTGGATGGGTTTAAGGAAGCTACGCAGCCACAGGGATGCCCAGGGCAAGAGGAAGATGGCAAAGCCCAGGAACCACTGTGGACACAAGGGAGGAAGCATCTGACTGTACTGTGTGTGACCAAAGATGCCCCGGGTCATCGCACCTCACCAGCACCTTTTACCCTGAACCCTGGCCCGCCTTTCCTACCAGGCA